CCCTCCCCTCCCGCGCTAGCCTAAGGGCCACCTTAGCAAAGCGCATCCCAGGCTGCATAGCCGCACTACCCTACCCAACCATACCACACATAAACATGACACTACCCCCGGGGTTTACACAGACGAGCCGGCGAAGCAAGAAGAGCGCCAGAAGAAAGGGACCTAGCCGGCGGGGCCCAGCCAGGACAAAAGGAGGTCCCACAAAGCGCCTACACCGGCCGCATTTGCGGTCGGGGTAGACAACGGATGGAGCCCACCTACGAAGGCTGTCCAGGCCTACACGAGATGAGGCAGGATAAAGAGGGTTAATCCCCCTCCATCCCAAATCATTGAGGCCAATTTCTAGCCATAGAATAATGGCGCGCGTCTGGAATGACTTGCAGTTCTTGGGAGTGGGTTCTTAAAGGGGTTAGGATAATTTTTCCTACCACTTTGCTCATAGCCGGGAGCAGGCTAATGGGCCGGTAGTTGGATGGGATGGTGTGATCTTTGTTGGGTTTTGGGATAAGGATTATGTTTGCTGTTTTCCAGCGGGTAGGGAAGTGTCTTAGTCTGAGTGTCGCGTTTGTTATGTTTAGTAGGGCCATGAGGCCCTTGTGTGGTAGTCGTTTAAGTGTCGTGTTATGTATATTGTCGGGTCCGGGGGCTTTTCTGTTTTTAAGTCTGCGTATTGTCAGTCTTAGTTCGTCAGGTGTTGCGGGGGGGATTATGTCATTGTCTGGCTCTCTGTCGACGCGTCGGGCCGCGCGCTCAGCCACTATCTCGAATTCCTCGTCTTCGTCGGGCAGCTGAGGCAGTCTACACTGCAGTTCCAGGCTATCGGCGAAAGCCTCGGCCTTTTCCTGGTTCGTGTAAACCACCCCCACACTACCGTGGATTGGAGGAATTTTACGGCGAGCGGTCTGTCGCAGGGCCCTCTGCGTTTTCCAGAGGCTGTTGTCTTGTGGATCCAGCGACTCCAGGTGCCTAGCCCAGTTATCCTGGGCCAGTTCATCCAGAGCCGCCTTCACCCGTCTGTTAAGTACGTTTAAGTCATGTCTGTGTCGGGGGAGGCGGGTGCGGGTGGCAAGCCGTTTCGCACGTCGTCTGTCACGTATTAAGTTTTTTATGTCATCGGGGAGGGTGCCCCGGGGGTTTGTCAGTCGGGGGACAATAGTCTCCGTCGTAGTCTGAGTCAGGGCGTTTTTAATGTCAGTCTCAAGGGAGAGGATTGCCGCCTCCAGATCATGGGTGGTTTCGATGACTGGGAGCGCCATGTTTCCTTGCATTACTGTTCGGAAACGCTCCCAGTCAGTGAACCTCCTCGTGAAGGTGCCTTCATATCTCTGTCTTCGCCCCAGATCCAGAAATATTGGATTGTGGGCGGAAGACCCTTCGTATTGGGTGGATATTTGGGCATTTAACGGTATAGATTTTAAGAGGGCAATGTCGATAACGTCGGGGCGTCCTACGGGTCCGTAATGTGTCGGTTCTGTCGGTCCGAGTATAGTCAAGTCGTCGTGTCTGTCTTGGTAATTCAGCAGGACGCGACCTCTTGTGGTCGTCGTCCCGCTGTGCCATATGGGGGACTTCGCGTTGAAGTCCCCGATGGCAATTGTCTGGGGCCAGGAAAGGATTTTGTCTAAGTCATTGTCAAGTAGTGGTAGTCTGGGTGGGTGGTAACAGGACACCACCGCAACGTCTCCATGCCGTAGCGATCTCACCGCTATCGCCACGGCCTCTGTGTTTTGAGTTTGGAGCCGCTGCAGCGGATAGTGGTCGATGCACTTCTTTACTATGAGTGCAACACCACCCCCGTTACGGTTTCTGTCATGTCTGTATATGTCATAGTCAGGGATGGAGGTACGGGATGCCTCGCTGAGGTAGGTCTCCTGGACAGCCATAACGTCTATGTTTAGACGGTTCAAGATGTCCACGAGTTCCGTTTTTTTGGCCCGGAACCCGTCAAGGTTCCAGGACGAAATTCTCAGCGAGGAGGGTTGGGAGGGCCGACGAGCCATTAGAAGTCGAATAATTTTTGCATATTCGACACCATGGTCGTCAGCTGGACGCAGAAGTCCTGAAGACGCTTTGTTGCGTCAATCAGGGCCGCCGCGCCCGGTTGGGAGGGTGTCGTGTCTGTGTGTGCGTGTGGTGAGGTGTTGTGTTTTTGTTTTTGTGTGTTTTGTGTTTTTCTGGTCATGTCAGCGTATGTGCGTCCTGGGGTTGTGTTTGGGGTGGGTAGGAGGGGCTGTCTGTGTGTTTGTGTAGTGTTTTGTGTCGTGTGTGTGTCTGTGTTTTGTGTTTTTGTGTTTTTAGCTTTGGGGTACTGAGGGCACCCCATATAGCTGGCGGGGTGTGGCCCGGCGCAATTTGCACACCTGGCGGGCGTGTCTTTGGCCTTTTTGCATACGTGCGTGCTGTGGTTTTCGCCACATTTTACGCACTTTGGCTCAGCTGTGCACCGGGTCTGGCCGTGGCCGAACCGCTGGCACCGGTGGCACTGTGTGGCAACCCGCTGCTTTCGCTGCAGCTCTACTCGAACCACGAGCGAGCAGCAGCGGGTTACCTTCAGGATGTCCTCCTGGTCCTGTGGGGCCTGAACTAGGACCAGGGGCATTTCCTGTTTATTTTGACGGCTCGCCATGCGGTGCACTATTGCGCCGGGGAACCCTTGTCTTGCGAGGTCGAGTTGGACCTCACTTGGCGAAACACCCGCAGGTATTCCGCGTATCACCACCCTCAGCGTTTTTTCTTCGCTGAGGGTGAAGGTGTGGTACTCCTCGCCTTTGTCTGTCAGTGTCTTTGTCACCACTAGTACCATCCACTAGTGAGCCTTATTTATCTGGTGTTGTTCGTAAGTACATAGTATAGATATGATAGTAAGAATACTATATTCTATATATAAGTCACGGAAGAACCAACCCCTATGATAAGATCACAGTATAGTATACTGTGGATAAGATAAACTAATTACTACATTTACAACAAGGATATACAGGTATCTGGCATACCAAAAATAAATTTTAATAAATAAAATTAACTTGTGGACAGCCATGGAAATTTATTTTTAAACGTCATTAATTTGAGAAAATTACTCAATTTAATTTTTCTTCAAAAGTTTTTAAGATAAATATTCAACATGAATAAGACAAATATACTGTCTGCTCAGAAGGTTAAACTTCACGGAATGACTTCGTCAAAATGGACAACTAAAGATAAAATCACTCAATATAAAGGACTGATAAATTTATACAGTAAGTATTTATTGTATTACGATGAAGGAACTATATATAGTTTTTTCACAACATATGTATGGTATGCGGTATATTTTAAATTTTGAGTGTTATCCGCTCTAGTTTGCCCCGTGCCGCATTTTATTTTGGCGTCAGAAAATCGCGGAATGTCTCTTGTATTAATAGCTTTGTTCCTAGAGCATTCCACCATAGCAATTTTCAAGTGGCAAACGCATGCGCAAAATTCATTGTTTCAAAATTCGAATCAAATACGATTACGTCTGCAAAAATAGAAAATAATTTTTTTATGTATAGCACTATTGGTAATTAAAAAACTGAAAATATTCAGTGGCGTACCTATATAAATATACAACCTTAATTATATCTACAACATTCTGAATTTTGCCTCTTTTAATCCACTATACCTACTTTGAAAAATAACCCTACCTATTTATTATTTTTCACAAAATGATTTTTTTAAATTTAATAGCAAGAGATAAAAAGATTATAGAAATGGACACCATTGTTGAAGAAAAGAAACAAAATAGGGAACTAAAAAATATTCAAAAAGAAATAGAAAAAAACAGACAAGATTTAGATAATGCTATTCGAGGAGATAAACAAAAAATTAGAAATATTTTAGCGGAACACAAAGAAATTCAGTTAGCATTTCAGAATGCCCCACCACAGGTAAATTTTCTCTTTAATTATAATATTGTCAATCTAATTACTAGCAGCGGCCAGTGAAAATTGAAGTGGTCTTATTTTTATAGAAACATGGGACCATTACTATTTACACATGTGCAAAATATTTTTACTCATTATTAACTGACAGATACAATTAGGCGTTTCTTTTTATATTTCACAAAATTAATTTTCCTTTATACCTATTAAAAATTTATTTACCAACATATCTATTTCTCAAAATTAATAATGTAAAAAATGTAAAACAATATTTTGCACATAAGGTGCATACAATCGCAGGGTGGGCACCCTTAGTTATAATTTCAAAATTTTTCATTGCAAAAGTTGTCTTTATGGACCTAGAAATCGTCTTCTAAAAAACAGCATGGTTTTTATTTATAAAAATATGACCACGTCAAGTTACCAGATGACGCTGGTAAGTACTCATTATTTTGTTCATTCCGTGACTTTTCAGAAAATTATAGATATGATACATCAGGTAACTTTCACAAAAAGAAAAATGAGAGATATGTTAAAATACAGAATGAAGCTAAAGTCTGATAAGTTAATTGACCTAAAGGTACCTAACATCACAAATTTTGTTTGAAAAAAAAATTAATATTACTTACCTTTTTTCCAAATGATCAGATTAGGCAAGCTCAATATGAAGACAACATAAAATATCAAGGAAAAAGTTGGCAAGCAATGTTACCTTGTGAAAAAGACGCTCACCTAATCACCGGTAAAGTGCAAGATGCAATTTTGAAAAAGGAAGCTGCAATATACATCCGCAATTCTTATAAGGAAATGATAGCGATTATGAAAAAAGTAAATCAAACTTTATAACTCAACTAAAATTTGTCCACTTATTTGATTAAACAGTACAATCAAATCGTAGGACACTCTCTACTTTGACGCCATTTTGGTGTCTATTCGCAACGATGGCATAACTCAAGGCAAATGCATGATCAACGCAACGACATTGGGGCAATTAGGAACAGAGTATCTGGACGACAGAAGGCAAGAATTTCAGTTGCTAGAAACGCTCGTGAAGAGAGATATGGTCAGTCGTAAGAAGGATTTGGAAACGGCAAGGAAAAATGTGGCGAGTTTCGCAATGAATATGAAACACGTCCTGAGGCGTGATGTAAGTACAGTTTTTTTGTTTAATTTAATGGTTGGCTGGCTTTTTGCAGTTAACAAATTAAATATAATAAAACCTTTATTATCTCGTATTTATAAATGCAGGGTTTAATGGTGCATTAAAATTGAAATATGTTTCTCGTATTTTAAGCATATTTGTCCTTAAATATGCATTGTTTAGATATCACACTATTAGTTGTCTAAAAAAAGCTCTATATAAATATTTTTCGAAAGAAATGAAAACAATAATTCAAAATTTTCTGCGCAGGATTAAAATGTGAAGCAACTTATCAAAAAGTGTATTGAGACAAAGGAATGATATTTTGAACACCCTTTGTAAAATTTAAATCAATTCTACATCTAATCACCACCCGGTATATTGTAATTCACATTCTAAGAGTGTTTAATTCAAAATGAGCTCGGAAAATGAAGACGAGCATTTACCGGGGAAGTACTGGCAGCAGTAAAAAGTGCTGTTTCACAATTAATCCCCAAAAAATCGTCGAGACAGTACGCGATTGCCTACAACGAAATTAAAGGGTGGTGTAGTTCGAAGAAAATTCAAAAAGTGTCCGAAGCGGTATTACTGGCATATTTTGAACATAAAATTAATAAAATTAAACCTTGGACATTATGGTTAGAAGATTCCATGTTAAAAAGTACACTCAAGGCTAAAAAAATGTAAATATCTGAAAATTTCCATAACTAATACCATATTTGCAAATTTGCAAATCAATTGGATACCGTTCAAAAAAGTCCAGTATTCTAACGAAAGAGGAAATTGAAAGATTGTTACAAGAATAGATTTCTGCTAGAAAAGATAATTCAAATTAATATAAATCGATTGATTTAACTAATTTTAGACAACTTTTCAAGTGATTTTAATAATAGTGTTTGTGGAGGTTCGAAAAGAAATGAGCTACTAAAGATAACGATCCATGATATAAGAGACAAAGATTCAATTATTATCATAAGAATTCCTGATTCCAAAACTCATACACCGAGATGTTTTGTGAATTCCAGTCCAGACCAAATGAAGATATACGCAAATATTGTGCTTTTGTACGACAGTTACTACAAGTCGAAGATTTTTTATGAAGTATGTCAGGGAAAAATGTGTTAACCAACTGGTTGGCGTCATCAAAATAATGAATGTGCCAAAAGAAATAGCAAACTCAATTTGCCTCATCTGCAGGCACTGTTTTAGTCGTTCTTCCACCACTCTGTTAGCCAACACAGGGGCCGATACTACCACCACTAAACGATGTTGATTACACAGCCCCACCAAAAAAAAGTAGCAGGTCCGAAAGACAAGACCATGGTATCTATAAGGTTTTGAAGTCGCTGAATCCGAATCCGGTGTCCGTTTGACACGATTAGCTCTGGTTTAAGGTCAGTTCAAGGTCAAATATAGAAAATCAATTCTCAACAAACTAAACCTACGTATCTACACGTTTTTGGAGTCGCCGAATCTGAATCCGATGTCCGTTCGACTCTGGTTTAAGTTCAGTTGACCTTGAACTGACCTTAAACCAGAGCTAATCGCGTCAAACCGACACCGGATTCGGATTCGGCGATCCCAAAAACGTGTAGATACATAGGTTTAGTTTATTGACAATTGATTTTCTACATTTGACCTTGAACTGACCTTAAACCAGAGCTAATCGCGTCAAATGGACACCGGATTCGGATTCAGCGACCCCAAAAACATGTAGATACATAGGTTTAGTTTGTTGTCAATTGATTTTCTATATTTGACCTTGAACTGACCTTCAACCAGAGCTAATCGTGTCAAACGGACACCGAATTCAGGAATTTTTATTAAGACAACTCAGAAGGATACAATTTTTATGGGAATCTCTATAAAGTTGTGGACTTACGATCTTTTAACACTAAATGTAGCATACATATAGCTCTCTAGAACTTAGATCAAAATTAAAGAATGTGCAATGATTTACCACCCCAAATTTGTTTTGTACCAAAAATACTTAATTTTCGACTTACTGTTGTGTGGTACATTTCTAGTTTTTAAAATGTTATACCACCAGCTAGATGACGTAGACTCCTAGATCTTACGATTTAATAGTCGATAGTTGAATTGATGTTTGCGATTTAAAATGCTCGTATTAGTAAACTGCGCCGACTTTTTCAGTGCAGAAATATGACAATTCTTGTAAACGATTGATAGACGTTAATTCTAACTGTTTTCAGAGCGACATTAACCTAGGAAAAGTGGAACTAGACGAATCTCCCAGCTTTGTTAACTTAAAGGAAGACGTTAACACCATCGAGAGTACATTAAATTATTTGAAAAATTTAATATTCACTCCCACCATCCAGTCAATATATCCATGGTGTTCAGGAACGAATTACACATAATTAATCGTGAATGACGGTAATCATTTCTAGTTTGCAAGAGCAAATGCGCCAGAAGGACAGATTGACAGAGTTTGTAGAAAGGTGTGAGAGGAACAGAGAAATTTTACATAAAAAAGTCGAGCATGCTACCGTTATGAGAACGGAATTGAAAAACACGATGATAGAAACCACATCTTTGTCAGTACTGACTCGTATATCCTAGTTTTTCCAACTAAACCCGTTACACTTTTTTAAGGTATAAAAGTGAAAAGCACGAGTTATTAAAAAAAATTGAGAGCGAAGTCGAAAGGAAAAATGAGCTAAACACGTTAATAGAGAGCAGATATAATCTACTGGCAAATGTTAGAATATCACTAAAGCATTTCCAATTGTTGGCACGATTACTCTCAACTGGCAAAATAGCTTTCGGTATCGGTAGTAATGTTTTTACCGACGATTCACTACAGAAACCCGAGGAAGACGAAATTGATGGTAACAAACTCCCTCATCAATATGTTCATAGATTTTATTACACAGTTTGTCTAAATATGAATCAATGCACAAATAACAGACTTTCCCCCATTCTAACGCAGATTTTCTATAAAATGGACTTGGTTTGAAACTCAAATTATTTTTTGGTGTAAAGAAATTTGTAATTTACGATACAAATTTCAAATTTCTTTACAACAAAAGGTAATTTGAGTTTCAAACTAACTCCATTTCATAGAAAATCTGCGTTAGAATGGAGGAAAGTCCGTTATTTGCGCACTGATTCATATTTAGACAAACTGTGTAGTAAAATATATAAAAATGTATTGCCGGATGCCTATTTGCTATAGAGCCCTGTTAACAATTTCAGGCACAAAGATTATCCCCGAATTGGTAACCAAGTTTACCAAACTGATAACCAATTCAAAAGACGCAGCTCCAGATTTGCAAATGGACGATGGCTATAAAATATTTGAGCATATGATGCACGAAAGGTCCAAGATGACGCAAGTGGATACGGTAATCAGCGAAGAATGTAAGTATTTCTTCTTCGAGTTTTACGACTGAAAAATCCGAATACTGGAAAATCATGAAATATGAATAATTTTAAATATTGCCAACATAACTTTGTTTCAGCGTTGATAGAAACGGTATTCCTCGATGCACAAGTCCTTAGTAGGGACGACATTAAAAACCAAAGTGCAGAGATCGTAGCAGTGAATAGCATAGACGAAGACTTACTACCGGCACAAAAACCTAAGAAAAAGAGGAAATGATCATATGCTGCCGCAATTATTTAAACATGTTTGATTACAAAAATAACCATTTGAAAAATTAGTTTTATTTTCATAGATAAACAAAAGCAAAACGGCTTCATCTAAAAATAACAATATGCAACAATACCTTGTATAATATATGAAATCATAGCCTTGCAATTAATCATCAGTACTCAAAGCTGCAAATTTATTACTAGCAAAGTTAACAGGTTCTTCCTCTCCTCCATCTTCACTACCTTCTTCGTCACTGTTTGTGTTGCCCTCGGATTCACGTTCTTCTCCCGCTTCCAATACCTCTTCATTATCTGACAAATCAGATATATTAACGGCACGTTCTGTTTCGGTGCTATCGTCTGTTGACCTGGCTTGAATCCATCTTACCGTCTTGATATCTGGATGCGACTCCCAATATTCTTTAAAAATTAACATGTTTCATAAAGCTTAGGGTGGCCCAAAATTTTCATGTCTCTTGTGAAAATATGTTAGTTAATCATGTTTTAAGAGCCGCCTCAAACAATCTGATTTAAAAAAAAAAGCTCAAAAAAAATTTTTTAGAGGTCACTCAAATTTTTTAAAATTTCCAAAATCGTCAAAAATTTAAATCTTTTAAATTTTCTCTCGTTATTTTATCATATTCTAGGTTGAAAAAAATTTCTATTCTGAAAATTTCAAATCGGTATTTTAATTTCTAAAGGTCACTCATAATTTTTTTACTGTAAAAGTAGTGTACCTAAAATGTTTTCGAGCGACCTCTAAAAATAAATATCAACGAACTAATATTTTTTTTTTGTTGAATTTGATGAACAAAAGAATGGAAATCAATCATGACACACTTAAAAAATTTCTCGAGGCAAAATTTACTACCGCACTGTGAGTATCAAATATTTATAATTTTTTAATTTTATAAAATTTAAGTGTCTCGTGATTTATTTCTATTCTTTTGTTCATCAAATTCAATAAAAAAAATTATTAGTTCGTTGATATTTATTTTTAAGTCACTTGAAAACATTTTAGGTACACTAGGTACTTTGAATGTTAAAATAATTATGAGTGACCTTTAGAAATTAAAACATCGATTTGAAATTTTCAGAATAGAAATTTTTTTTCAACCTAGAAAATGATAAAATAACGAGAAAAAAAATTCTAGCAATTTTTGACGATTTTGGAAATTTTAAAAAATCTTGAGCGCCCTCTAAAAAAAATTTTTTTGAGCAGATTTTTTGAGGGTCTCTTAAAACATGATAAACTAACATATTTTCACAAGAGACACGAAAAAAAATATTCGTTTTATTTTGGGCCACCCTAATAAAGATATACAGTGGACCCATAAAATAATGCAGAAATTTAATAGGCTGGATATTTTTTATTTTTAACCAACAATTTCTTATTAGACTATGCGGTATGTGTTTTGGTTTGGGTGAATCGTATATCCACAGAGATTTTTGGCTTTTTGACTTTCAAATATCAAAAGAAATGAAAATTTTTCTATGCACATAAAAAAAACGTGGGCTTAACTTTTGGCGGCACAATATGTTAAAAAAATTTGAAAAATGTCATATTTTTCTTCCTATTCAATTATGTAGCTTTCCAAGAGTTGATTTTAGGCGAAAATGGAAGAGGAAGAAAATGTTTGTAATTAAATTTTTTACAAAATATGACTAGTTACAAATCGAATGAATCTTGATTATTATTATAAAAATCGAAAAAATCGCCAAAAATGGTTAAAAAACTACTCCTTAGGGAATTTTTTTGGGGTCTTTAAATTGGGTATAGGACCTTCATACTTGGCTTAAGAAAACTTCATGTTATGTAGTATCATCAAACAAATTTCATTAAAATTGGTTTGATAGATTTCGCATAATAATTTTGTAATTCAGATTTTGAAAATAAATTTGCAAATTTTCTAAATTTTGCACAGCAAAAACCAATGCCCTTAGATACTTGAAAATTCAATTACATATAGAAGGGCTCTCAAACTTTCAAACGCTTTTTGAAAAATTTGAATCCGTCAATTAGGAGAGCTCTGGCGCTTGTTTAAACATTGGTCGAATTTTTGTACTTATAAACAATTAGAATAACTGTGCAGGTTTTAAAGCAGGTTTTAAAAGTTATTGAAAGACGCTTCTTAAAAAAAAAAACAGATCGATTGCTCAATTAGTTACGTAGTTATAGCCGATCAAAGTTAACCGTCATTTACACTAAATGTACTGGGACATCCGGGCTAATTTTTCCAAAAATACCTTTGGTATTTTGAGTACTTATCAGGTCTAAGTTTGCAATACTTTTCTTCATTGGCAACATATACTTTAAAACGTGTTTAGTTATTTATGCAAGCGAGAAAAAAAAAATCGTACAGGTGGTGGTGGTGGGGGAGAGCGCGGCCGCTTCAGCCTGCTCGAATTTGAATAGGCGAGTTCAAAACCGCGACGCGCTTAAAAATTTTTAATATCTCAGCTTCTAGAGGTTCGATTTTGATGAATTTCTTTTAAATCGATATTTCGTGATTTAAAAAAAAAACAATTAGCATATTTTCAAATGCCTATCGTTAATAATTATTATAATACTTATCTTTAAACTTCCTTTAATTATCAACTTTATTTTTTTATTGTATCAAAGGTAAGTGCATAAACTTATACAGGTTCGGAAAGTCCCCATGGTTCATCGGCCGTTACGTGAGAGCGATAAAGTAAGTCATAGAAATCCATGCGACAGACAAGGATGATTACATTGAAGACGTTTCATAATCTGAATAGTTCTAACCCGAAACGGGCGGTGACTATTCAGATTATGAAACGTCTTCACTATAGCCATCCTTGCCTATCGCATGGATTTCTATGACTTTGTCGCTCTCACATAACGGCCGATGAACCATGGCGACTTTCCAACCCTGTATACTGTTTATCAAAGATCAAAAACAAATTTATTTAAATATTCTAAAATTGTTTAAACAACAATTATTTTCAAAATATGTCGAAAATTAGTAATAAGTATAATGAGTTAATTATACATTTGCTTATATTCTAAACAATAAATAATATTTGAATTATTTGAATTATTATACTTTAATCACAAAAGAAATGATTAAATTAATAAATTAATTATAAAAAATCAATATTTTATTCATACTTAATTGCATTAATAAATCAGGATTTAAAAAAATGTAGACAAATTTTTGTTTTAAATTTATGAATGTATATTATAATATATATTTATATGTATAAAAATATACGGGTTCGGAAAGTCCCCATGGTACATCGGCCGTTATGTGAGAGCTATAAAGTAAGTCATAGAAATCCGTGCGATAGACAAGGATGGTTACATTGAAGACGTTTCATAATCTGAATAGTCACTCCCACTTCTAACCCGAAACGGGCGGTGACTATTAAGATTATGAAACGTCTTCAATGTAACCATCGTTGTCTATCGCACGAATTTCTTGACTTTGTCGCTGTCATGTAAAGGCAGATGGACCATGTGGATTTTCCAGCCCTGTATATTAAGAATTTAATCGAACTTTTTTACATGAGATTTCATTTTCTTCTTCAATATTATATTCATCAACTTCTTCGTCTTCAAACTCAAAATAATTATTAATTTCCGCGTTGTCTAACACCTCATTCTCGCACTCTACTTCTGCTTATACTTCTACTTCTTCGATCGAATCAATTTCGTCATCGATTTCTGTGAAATTTTGAACATTTTTGCACATTTGTCCTTGACAATGTGTGCAGTATTCGGAGCACTTCAAACCATGCTTAACACAGCTGCATGTTTTTGAACACTGCTTGGCACAGTTGCAACTAATTATTTTTAACAGCGATTCAGGAAGCAACTGCGTTTTAGTGTGAATGGTCTCCAACCCATTTTGTTTCAATTCCCAAATAACTTTAAACACGTTTTAAAGTAGGTTGCCAATGAAGAAAAGTATTGTAATCTTAGACCTGGTAAGTACTCGGAATACCAATGGTATTTTTCGAAAAATTTGCCCGGATGTCCAAGTACATTTAGTGTAAATGACTGATCGACTATAACTACGTAACTAATTGACCAATCGATCTGTTTTTTTTTTTTAAGAAGCGTCTTTCCAATAACTTTTAAACCTTGCTTTAAAAAATTTGATTTGATTGAATATTCTCAAAGTTATTATAATTATTTATAAGTACAAAAATTCGAACAATGTTTAAACAAGTGCCAGAGTTTTCCTAATTGACGGATTCCAATTTTTCAAAAAGCATTTAAAAGTTTGAGAGCCCTTCTACAGGGTGATTCAAAAAACCGCTGATAGACTTCTAGGGTAGATAATACATGAAAAATTAAGACGAAAATCTTAATAAACATAGGGTTGCAAATGCCTCCTTAACGAGATACAGGGCGTCAAAGTTTCTATAAAATAAAACTTTGTAATAATTCCAAAATGCCTGAAGATTTCTAGTTCAAATTTGCTATGCCTAGTTAGCACCTTAAGACCAATGTTTGATGTACTGCTCAAAATTTTATGAGCAGCATTGTCGTAGAGAAGGGGTCGTGACCCTTTTTTTAAAATATTTTCTACGCCACTGCTAATTTTGTCAAACGGGCACTATTTTCGTGTAAAGTGTTCAATTGTCTATCGAATTGGTCTCTTGCGAAATTTTGATTAAAGCTACAGTTTTTGAGTAATTTAGGTTTCAACTAATTTTGTCAGAATGAAATATCGTAAACAATAAACAACAAATTTAAGGGTGAAAACGTAATGATAAAAATTTTATAACTGGAAATAATGTACAATATCAGAGTAGGTGCTGGAAGTGACCACCTTGTGATTTGACACACGTTTGTACCCTCCGAGCTGAGGATCTTCTTATTCTTTCAAAAATCCCGGGTGTATTACAAATTGTTTGAAAGGCTTCTTGAATTCGTTGCCATAATTCATCAATCGAATTTACTGGAGTTAACGTAAATCAGCTGCTTAACATGACCCCAAGCGTGGAAATTCAGAGGATTTAAGTCCGGTGAACGGGCGGGCCACTGGATTGGACCACCACGTCCAATCCACCATTAGGGCAAGGGTCGGCAAATACTGGACCGCCAAAAATTTTTTGAAAATATAAATTATCCAAATAAATTATTTAAAAAAATATTTTTTTACGTTTGACTGCCACCCTATAATTTTTTCTAGTATTTTACAATTGTGACTGATTTGAGTTCTTAATGAAAATAAAAAATTAGTAAGAAATATGAATTTTTTTCTGGACCTCGTTAAAAAATTTCAAAAGTATCCGGACCCCACCTAAAATTACTTGCCGACCCCTGATCTAGGGTATGTCATATTTACATAATCTCTTACTTGTCGAGCGAAATGCGCCGGAGCGCCGTCATGATGGAACCAAAGGCTCCTCTGCACATCCAGTGGTACTTCATCTAACAAGCTGTTCAAATCGTTCATTAAAAAATTAAGGTAAGACTGGTCATCTGGTCTATGTGGTTGCCTAAAAGAACCAATGAGCGTGTTGCCGATAATGCCAGCATGAACGTTAATTGATAACTCTTGCTGAAAATTTGTTATTTGAATGACGTGAGGATTTTTGTCGCTCCATAAATGATTATTGTGGAAGTTAATTATTCCTCGTCTCGTAAACGATGCTTCATCTGTGAATAAGATATTCGCGGAAATATTGAGATTCTTTGCGAGCCTGCCAAGCAGCCATCGTGATCACTCCAGTCTTGGTGGGTAATCTTGAGGTAATGTTGAACACGTTGAAAGTGATAAGGGTGCAATTGTTGTTCGCGAAGTGTTCTCCAAACAGATGACTGTGATATGTTTAAATTTCTAAAAATTTGTCGGGTACTTAACATATTATTATTTTCTATTGCTGTCAGGATCATTTCCTCAGATTCCGGAGTTCTAGCATAACGCCGTCGTCCAGAATTAATTTTTGTTGCTTTTAATTTACCCGTTTCTCTTAATCTTCTATCGATATTATCAAACATTTGCCGATTTGGTGTTCTTCGTGCAGGAAACATTTCTCTGTACTGCCTAACTGCATCACGGGAAACAAAATTCGCTAGACCATAACATAGATGCATATCTGTCATCTCTTCAAATGAATATTCGTAATTCATACTGTTATTGAAAATAGTGAACTAACTGAAGTAATTTAAATAACCGTAAAAATGGCAAAAAGAAGCTTATACGCTAGTTTACTTAACTCACAAATTTTCTACAAACGTGTTTTTCTTAAAATTGGTTGCTTTAATCAAAATTTTGCAAGAGACCAATTCGGTAGACAATTGAACACTATACGAAAATAGTGCCCGTTTGACAAAATTAGCAGTGGCGTAGAAAATATTTTTAAAAAAGGGTCACGTTGACCCCGTCTCTACGACACTCTTGCTCATAAAATTTTGAGCAGTACCTACAAACATTGGTCTTAAGGTGCTAACTACGCATAGCAAATTTGAAATAGAAATGTTCAGGCATTTTGAAATTATTGCAGACAATGTTTAATTTTACAAAGCTTTGACACTGTATCTCGTTAAGAAGGCTTTTGCGACCCTATGTTTATTAAGACTTTTCGTCTTAATTTTCCATGTATTACCTACCCTAGAAGTCTGTCAGCGGTTTTCTGAATCACCCTGTATGTGTAATTAAATTTTCAAGTATCTAAGGGCCTTGGTTTTTGCTGTGCAAAATTTTGAAAATTTGCAAATTTTTTTTCAAAATCTGGATTGCAAAATTATTATGCGAAATCTATCAAACCGATTTTGATGAAATTTGGTGTGATGATTCTACATAACATGAAGTTCTCTTGATCCAAGTATGAAGGTCCTATACTCAATTTAAAGACCCCAAAAAAATTCCCTAATGTTTTTTAACATTTTTGGCGATTTTTTCGATTTTTACAATAATAATCATGATTCATTCGATTTGTAACTAGTCATATTTTGTAAAAAATTTAATTACAAACATTTTTTCCTCTTCCATTTTCGCCTAAAATCAACTCTTGAAAAGCTACATAATTACATAGGAAGAAAAATTTGACATTTTTTGAATTTTTTTAACATATTGTGCAGCCAAAAGTTAAGCCCACGTTCTTTTATGCGCATAGCAAAATTTTCATTTCCAGTGATATTTGAAAGCAAAAAAACCAGAAATCTCCGTGGATATACGATTCACCCAAACCAAAACAGATACCGTCTAGTCTAAAACTAAGGCGCTATCTTATACAAAATTGTTCATAATAATTACACGATACATTTTACCTATAAATTTTACTTTTACCTTTTTTGGAGGAATACGAAGGAGGTCTAAGACACAGACATATTTTACCATCCAAAGCCATTCTTAATATACTATTTGCAGCTCGATACGAGTCTAATCTAGCTGCTTTAGCTGTTAGATATCCCCTCTTCTTAGCCCATCCATCACAGATATCCATCGCAGACCAAGTATCATCGTTATCTGGGTGATCAATTCTCAACAGAGACACCAAATCTAACCTTTCCGCTGAAAGGTTATTACAAAGTTATTATTTGTTATATATTTTGAAGCTTCTCTATTCGCTCTTTTCTTACCTAGGTACTTTACTGTAGTAAACGGTTCCCTTAGCTGAGCAATGGGAAAATTTCCCATTAAGACTTGCAACGGCTTAGATACCTTCGAAGGAAATACTAATCCAGGGCAATCGCACAGTTTCACATTGGGAGTTAAATAAATTGTTTGGAAGTGTTTAGTGTGGCCAGGAGTCTTGGAAACACTTACTACTTTCTTCCCCATGATGGCGTTCATTAAGGAGGACTTCCCTACGTTTGGTTGGCCTATGCAACCGATCGTTAAGACCCCACTTTTAAATTTTTCATATTCAAAATAATCAGTGTCGGGATTTTTTAACTGTATAGTTTCTCCCACTTCCACTTTCTCATCATCTGACTCTGATGCTTTAAGTTCTTCATTCGTTTCTTCTTTGATCTTGTTTTCCCAACTTGTTAGATCAACATTGGTGCCCACCAATTTTTTACATTCCTCTAAAATCTGCAAAGTTCCCTCGGCTGCCATCCGTATTTTTCCCCTTCGTCTTCTAACCTGCAATCCTGGAAAACAAAAAAAAAATTAGGCAAAGTTCTGATTTCATTACTAAGATTTATAGTATACCTGCTGCATCAGACTGTTTTCCAATTAAGTTATATCCTGGCAAGGTAGTAAACATTACAATTTGTAAATTAGGATATTTTTCTTGAAAGTAATGTTTCCAGGCAACAACTAATGAAGCTGGAGCTAAATCAATTTTATTTAATACCAATATAAATCCTTTTTTTAATGTATTGGTCACATAATCATATAATGAAGGGGGAAACATAAGTGCCTAAAATATAAAAATATACCTACTTTTTTTTAATTATTCATTTTTTTATTATTAGCTATTGAACATTTATTTTACTTTAAAATAGTAGTTGCCGATGAAAATTAAAGTGATCAAAAATTGATAATGAAATGTGTGGATTGTACCTACTACTCCCACAAAGAAAATTTTCATCACAAAAAAATAAAATAAGGTAGCTTTCTCCGAGATCATAATCAACTGACATATGCAACGTAAAAATTGTTTATTTTTCTCAAAATTATTTCAACATAATCAATATTAGTTTCTCTTGTAAATAAAAATATCTCAATTTTAAATGTCAATGTTATTGAAATGAAAATTTTTGCTTACTTTAATATAAAGGTAATACAGTGGGAACTTACCGCGTACCGTATATCTACAATATATAATACTACATCAGACATTTCTAGCACTCTCCATAACTGCCTCCAAGTTTCCAAATTCAATTCAAATAAACTTAAGTCCTTCCAATCAAATTTACTTTCTATTTCTTTTAGATACCCCTAAAATAGCCGTTTAAAAACCTTTATTAGTTTTGTATTAGAAGCTAACTTACAGTAAAATATTTATTTTCTTGAACTTCAAGCTCATTTTTTCCTAAACTAAAATTCCATTCAGGCCTTTTTGGAAAATCTAAATTAGTGAAATAATCAGTCTCGTTAATTTCTAAATCGATCTCTTTCTTTGGTGCCAAACTTTGCCTCGCAAATTCTTTTCTCTGTGCTATTTCTTCTTTAGTTTCTTTAAAAAACTGTAAAGCATATTTGTTTGGTTTCGAACTACTGTCTTTTGATGGTTGGAAATTTATTTTTTGTATATTACTTGATCCTTCATCTCCACGATTATAATCTTGAAGAAATGCTGGATTTTTAACACCTAAAACGTAAGATGCAGGAGTGAATAATAATTATATTATTACTACTTATTAATTACCTAGCTGTTTAGACTGTTTCTTTGCTTTTAATTGCTCTTTCTTTGCCTTCCCACTAAAAGGAGTCTTTCGCCTTCCTTGCGGCATTTTTATTTTGTATCTGAACTCTGAATCTGAAGATCAAATCATTTAAATTATACCATTCATATTCCTTGATTGTTTCTTTTTGGTTAATTCTTTGACAGTTTTGACTTTGACAGTGGTGGGTGATCATGGACAGAGACAACCATGGATCATATATATTAGATTGAGACTATTTTGTTGTGTACGGAGTACGGACAAAGAATATGTAAATAGAGAAGAGAAACTTCTACTGGCAGAAAATCTCAGGCATCTGACATCTGACTAGCCCAGATTAGTCATACACCAGGAAAATTAGCGAATATTTCCCTTCTAGGGAATAACATTATTTACAAAATGAGACTTGTTAAATTAAAATCGGTTAAAAAACAAAAAAGTTATTGCAAAAAACAAGAAAAGGAGCCATTTTTTAATTTGTTTGGTATCGCATTTGTTGTTAAAATTTTATAAAACCTATGACAAGTTGAGGGTTTTGTCATACTTTAAAAGTGTGCCAAAAGTGGGCGCTGTAGGTGCAATAGTTTTTGCACAATTCTATTTGTTTATAACGGAGGCTCCAAAAGTTATGAACTTTAAGCCTCTGTACATGCGTTAATTTTCAATCAAACATGATTCTGAAAGCGTCATTGTAATCTTAAAGACGTAATTAAGCGACCTATTAAAAAATATCACCGTTTTTTTGACATTAACATTCTCAAATTGTGCATTAAAAAACCGTGCGTTAGGTATTCGCTTATAAACAATTTGAATAAAATCGCTGCTATTTATGCTACCTCACCGAAAATAGATGCAATGGATAGCTGGCAAAAAATACAAATTTAAAAAAAGTACCCTCTACTACCAACAGGAGCCAAGATAAGAATTTTTTTTAAATCGTAGCACAATTGTTTATAAACATTAAGACTTGAATTTTTGGCAAAATAAAGTTTATGAAGTAAATTACGGTTTCTTGTGAATTGCATTGAAAAATGTGGAAAATTAACGACTCACGAGCCCTTTAAAGAAAAGGTACTTGCTATGTAAACTATCCGGCGTGGTGATGGGGGAAGCTCATCCAATCGAGTCGCGCGCGCGAGAAAAGTGAAGTCCAGTTCAGAAAAGTTCTTTTTTTTTAAACTGGGGTAGCTCGACGAAAAAATATTTACGAATTCGTAGAATAGCCCTGAACCCCAGAAAAAATGCTTCTTTATATTAATTAAATTATTGTTAAACGAAATATTAATTAAAATTTCAATTTCGGAATTATTTTACTATTATTAAATAAATAAATGAAGCCATCATTCATTTAAAAAGTTATTTCTTTAACATATTAAGGCAAAGTAAATTTAAATAACTCCTTTTATAAAAGTATGAACTGCTGACTTTTGCACCACAACTACATTATAACAAAAAAAAAATTGAAGGTTTCTTTCATAAACAAGATTTTTTTTGTGTAGTTATCTAAAAAGCAAAGTATATGTGAACAGACCAGACACTATCGAAGGATTGAACAATCGTATCAGAGAAGAAGTTCAAAACATAACACCAAATGTTATTCAATATGTAATTGATAATTTTGAGCGCAGAATTGGGCATTGTCCAATGGTTAATGGGAGCCACTCTCAACATTTGCTGTAATAAAATAAAAAGTAGTACCAAATTATTGTTTCATTTGATTCCTCCATTTTTTGACAACTATGACAAAAAAGTATGTATAACATTATATCTCTGAATGCGTCTTTAGAAGGACTATATATTTATACCATAAAATATAAAGCGTCCTATTAAAAAAATGTGGGTAATGTTATAGGTCTGTCAAACATGGCTCAAAAAATAGAAAATATTGCAGAAAAGTGAAAATTTCTATTTACTAATTGACCTGTTTCAACGATTTATTTAAATTTCAACTGGAAAAAAATATGAATTTTGTTCTAACATTTTGAAACACACTGTATATATATATAAACTTTTATACAGGTTGTTACAAATTCGTTTCTCACTACAGGGATCTTGAAAAGAGTAAGAGATACAAACTAGCTTAAATGGGGGCAAAGTTGCGGAATCAGGAGACCAATATTATGCCTCTAAAAAATCAAGGCTAACATGATTAGTTTTCGAAATATTTGAGAAAAAAAGACGAAATGATGGAAATCCATTTTTGTTTCATTTCAGCCTTGTTGGAGGCGATATTGGAAAAAGAAGAACACTTTCTCATTGCCACTTTTTGCCCTCTATCGAATGGCATAATCAATTTTTATATGTAACATTTCGTCTCTCTAGGATCATCATCAACTTCATTTTTTAAATACGACTTTCGAAATTTTATTACATTTTTTGCAAGGCTTCATGACCTCCAATACTGTACTGCCTCAGTCCGAACCAGATTCAGACGTTTTGTCTGGAAAAATTCATCTTCAGTGTATTCTTCAGTACAGTATTGGGGGTCATGAAGCCTTGCAAAAAATGTAATAAAATTTCTAGAGACGTATTTAAAAAAATTGATGATGGTCCTGGGGAGACGAAACGTTACATATAAAAATTGATTATGCCATGCGATAGAGGGCAAAAAGTGGCCATGAGAAAATGTTCTCCTTTTTTCAATATCCCCTCAGACAAAACTAATCATGTTAGCCTTGATTTTTTAGAGGTATAATGTTGGTCCCCTGATTACGTAACTTTGCTCCTATTTAAGCTACTTTGTATTTCTTACTGTCTCCGATATCCCTGTAGTATGAGAAGCGAATTTGTAACAGCCTGTATATAACAATTTGTTGTAGCTAACTTTAGATATTTAATACTGCTTCTAATGCTGTCAGCAATTATTGAGGTTGGGCATGAGGTTCAATTCTGTTATTTATTTCTCAACACAATAAATTTTCATGAACAAATTTACTGTTTACTTGTTTCGTTACAGAGTAATTTAAACATTATTTAACACAGATAAAAAATTTTAATACTTACACATTTTTTATGGAAATGATAGAACAAATATAAAAATAAAAAATAATTAAAATGATTTTTAATTGTTTCTAAAAACATTTTAAAAATTTCTCTACACAAGAGAAAACATTATTCGACTCGATTCCCTAAGACGAGAATAAAGTGTACCTACTAATTTTTAGATAGTTCTTTAGAAATTTTCTAAAAAAGCCATGGAATTTATAAAATTAAAATTGCCCAAGGGTCACGTGGACTTTTACTGAAATATTAATCTTTTACTCACTGTGAAGTATGCTTAAAATGCATTTATTTGTAACAGGTGTAATCTTAATATCCTTGTCCTCCTCTAAATTACTTAAAAGTTCTTTCGTGCTCTCCGAGAATGTATTTATATAATTTTCTAAAATATTAACATGAAAATGAGGCTGAATTAATTTCCGATGCGTTTTCCATTTCTCCCCTGAAATTAAAATTTGCCTAGTTACGCCATAAAAGAATGATAAACTAAATTACCATTGTTGGTTATTATTCCTCTTCTAACAAAATTATGTAAAAGCTTGTACAAAACATTTTTTTGTGAATTCTTCCCAGCTAGTATTATTTTCAAATGCCTTGGTTCGTAAATAAAGAAAAACGGGATGACTGATACCCAACTTCTGAAAAATGGACCATAAAGTTGGTAAGCCTTGGTTCCCAATTCTTCCAATTCTAAGGGTTTCAGCCATTTTAAAAATTACAGATCCTAAAATTTATATCTTCAAACACCTACCTACTTATTTATAATGAAATTTTATCTAAAAATATAAATAGTTAGATATTGTGAGTGTAACTGACATGTCTAGAGTTGCAAGTAATATGACAACTTAAACAAATAAATTCTATTGATACCTACTACGTACTATACTTTAGACTACAATAAACAAAGTTTTTAGATGTCTCGAATCATTTGAGATAATTTATTGACTATATTCCTTTATATCATATATACTATTACTACTAACTATTCAAATTTTTTACCAAAATAAAACAAAAATTAGCAAATCGGTCGGCAGAGAGGAATTACCCTGAGTCAGCCAGTGCAATTCAATGCAAATTCGAAGGTAACGTATTTGTCAACTTTACATAAATTTGAACAGAATGTCCTTCTATTAATATAGGTGAAACGAGGACATTAATAACTAATTTCTATTCAGATTGTCCTAATCTTCCTAAATATAAAGTAATAATAAGAAATTGTTAGTTTATCTGGTATAGTTGTTACGATATCAGTTGAAACCTGCGAATCTTAAAGCACAGGACCGTCTGCACTTCTCTTGAAATTTCTTTCTATGCTTTAGCCATGATGTGTCTCGTAATTTATACTCGAATAGCCACTGGGCGAGTCCGATATGGGTAGACCAGTCGGCCTGATATAATCGACGGCGGCGCGCTGGTCGTTAAAGCAAACCTGTATTGGTCCACTAGGTCATAAATAATTTTTTGCATGTCTATAATTGCTATAATTTGTTTGATGGTTTTTATGCGGTTCCAACTCATATCGTAACGACTATAACGTTAATAAAATATTATAGTAAAAATAATAATTACACAACAACCTTGATTTTTAATTAGGTAAATAAAATTAGACCAAATAATTAGGTATATCTAAGTGATATAAACAAGGATTTTGAAATTTTTATGTACTGGGTGTATTTTATGCCCATGTCATAAATTAAGGGACTGATTCCTTGGGTCATCAAAATATCATATTTTTTCAATTATCTCTGACGTTGTTTGACGAATATAATTATTCCTTTTAATCATTTTCCCAGGTTTTGTCAATCTACGTTAAACAACTTCAGTGATAATTGATTTTAGGTCCTTTGTTTATTAAGGCTTTTCGGCCTAAAACCAGCCAAGGATTCATCCCCTTCATTTATGACATGAACATAAAATACACCCTATTATTTTTTGAAAGACTACAGTTTCTATCAAATTTTCAATTCGTAACAATTTTTTTCAGAAAATATGTGGTTAATATACCGAGTGTTCCAGAGTTGAAGTGTCAAAAGCCTAGGGGAGATTCCGCTCAACAAAATATGTAAAAAAGTTCATATGAACATGGGTCCGCGAGTGCTTCGTTTCCGAGATACAGGGTGGTAATTTTTTTTAAATTAAGTTTTAAAAAAACGCTTTAGCTGATTTGAATGAAATTTTACGATTTATTAAAACAATTATCATAATCAATCGGACCAATTAGATTTGATCCAGAATTGATTCAGGGGCGTACCCAGCAAGTCGTTTTTTTTTTGTAGAAAAGAATAAATAAAATAAAAACGAACCGAGACGCTAAAAAAAGATTCAAGAGACATAAATGTACTATTTTTAGTGGTTTTATCTGAATTTTACATAAAAATCGCAAAAACGACAGGGTTCTACAAGAAAAAACTGACATGCTCGCAGGGTACGCTCCTGAAAATTCTTGGTCCAGTTGGTGTGATAATTGTTTTAATAAACCGTAAAAATTTTATTCAAATCGGTCAAATTGTTTTTTCTTATACTCAATTTAAAAAAATAATAACACCCTGTATTTCGAAAACGAGGCACTTGCGGACCCATGCTCATATGAACTTTTTTTACAAATTTTGCTGAGCGGAATCTCCCCTAGGCTTTTATCACTTCAACTCTGAAGCACCCGGTATAAAAGCCGTACTGTGAAATATTAGTGAAAAAATAAAATTGCAGCAGAAGTAATGTTTCCTGTAGGTGTCTAGTTTACCATATCATATTTTTTTAAGTAAATTTGGAATACTGAAAAATTTAACATTTTTTATAGCTCTTATATTTTTTATGCTACTTTAAAGAAATTAAGCTGACTCATATTAATTATAAATATTTCGCTGTATAAATAACGGGGCACCATATCATTTAGTTTTTTACTTTACTTTAACGTAATCGTTAATGTAAAAAACTATCAAAGTTAAATATTCTTTTGATTTTCATTTCATATTAAGCTGTCAAATATTACATTTTTTTCTAGATGTTAATGTAGGAACCCATCTGCTCCTAACATGCGCACATGTACCGAAAATATTTCATGAAGTTATATATAATAAAACAAAAAACAAAATTACTACATTAAAAAGTTACATAATTATTTCAATTTCTGAACCGCTATTAAGAAAAAAGTTAGACTGCTTCATTTTAAAGACCATTTAGAACATAATATGTTAATTGCAGTGGCGGCTCGTCGTATGAAGCAACTGTGGCCGGGCCTCACTGTAAAATTTGGCTCTCACACCGTAATAATACCTACTGTTCTACTATTAACCTAAATAAACTGTTAGGTAAACTAATTTCCAATTACCTATTATTACATTTATCAAAAATCAAACAGTATAAAATAATTATTTGAATATTGAATATCTCGACGCACGCCGTTTCCATCGTCGCAGCGTTGTTACTCCCCACTAGTCCCCACCACAGTGAGGCCAGAAATTTTTTGCTTGTAGGCGCGTAGGTGCCTTCGATAAGGGTTTACGAAGTCTCGACATTGCATTCTCTCTCTTTATAGCCGTAAGAATAACGAGGGTTGAGCAACTGGAGTCAATTTTCGTACACCCCTAATATGCTACAGTTCCCCGTCCAAGAGAGGCGGTTAAAATAACGTGATTTAGGGGAGAATTGAGGCCGGCTCAAAGCTGCTTGTACTTGTCTTGTCGCTTTAGTTTGCGGTTACTGTACGCGTCGCATAGTACGGGGGTAGTATCTGATGTCAGTGTGAGGGATAATATAAAGGCTTTAAGGATAAGGACAAGGCAGGTATTAATTTAAAGTAAATAAAAAACAACTTCCTTACAACAAATCAAAGTAAGACTAAATTTAACGTAATTTAATAGATACTTATTGTGTTATCAAATACCTAATAATAAAACTATCTCAAAACATTGTTTTATCTCTTGAAACACCTTTTTCAAGACGTAAGAAAAATTTAAAAATACTTTTAATTATGCGAAAAATATTACTGGACTACCAAGTAAACGGGGCAAAAGTTGCGACGAATTAGAAATATTTTCGAAATATATTCCTTAATTAAGTACCTAACCGTTTTGGGAATTTACATGATTTAAATTTTTTTGCTTTAATGGATTCCTCAAAATTTCCCGAATATACAAACAAATTTCCCGAAAAATCGTTTGACTGTTTATTATAAATGTGTCCAAACGTTTTTGAAACAGATAGGTTGAAAAACGAACTTAATATTTTGTACAGAGACGAACAGTTTCGTAATGTAAAAGTTCAACAACCGATACAAATATTATACAAGGAATTTAAAATGGTATTTTCAGAAACATACAAATTGTTTTGACCAGTTTTAACAATTCCTACAAGTGTCTCGGTAGAAAGAAACCTTTTTCGTGACTTAAACGCATTAAGACTTACAAATACGATGTGATAAGAGCGCTTTAACAACTTATCAGTGATGACGATAAAAAAACTATGGCAAAGTCTTGGTGCCGATCCTCAATATTATGAAGACATTACAAGTAAATTTGCAAATTTAAAAGACGGACCAATAAACGTGTTTTATAAAAACATTCACTATGTTTTTAAAATATTTTGTTAAAAGTGGAGGCAAACGAAAAGCTGGCGGCGTATTTTATATATAAATATTAGTTGGCTGGCTACCTTATGAAAATTTGTTTTTTATACTTTTTCATATTATTTAATATTCATAAACCAAGTAGAAACAATTTTGTCAATTATTAGGTAAATATATCAATTTTTTCTATTTCTAAATTTTATTGTAAATACAATTTTTAAAGTTCTGATAATATTATTAATAATATAATTTCTTAATTTACGGTTATAGTGGGGCTATTGGCGAAGATCTTCGTAATAAAAAATTACGTGGAAATTTACTATTATTTGAGAGGGGATTAATAAAATATCCAAATAGTTGCGTCACGAGCCGCCACTGGTTCATTGAAGTGAAGAGAATTTTTTAGTTATTTAATGCTATATATTTTGTTTGTTCTTTTATGGTGTATTTTTATTGTAAATATTTTTATTTGTGAACATCAGGTTTCTACCCTAAATTTTTATTATCAACCAAATAACAAAAAGTTAAACTAGAATTGAATAACTTCATGAAAAACAAAAAGCAAAAGGAACACCTTGTATAGTCAAATAGTTTTTAAGTAAATGGTAAAAAACTGAAAACCTGTTCTTTAGAAACAGGTTTCTGGAGATGCTAAATTAGAACAAAATTAGGCACAAAATCGCTAACGTATTTTTTAAAAAAATCCACCTATGACTAAAGTCAAATTTAGTTATATCAAAATAATTGTTTTGCAGGTAATTATTTCATGCTAAAATGTGATAACATTTTAAATAAGAGAGATATAAGTGTGGTTTCATGAAAAGGGAAACGTGATGTAGGTACCATAGTTACAAAACTCCTTCATACTTCGTGATTTTATGATAAGCTTTAAATATTTTTGTTTTGTTCTACTACCGGAAATAAAATAATTCAATAGAGGATTTCATATAATCATTACAATTACAAATTCAAAATAGGTACCTACTTACTTTTTGTGTTGTTTAATATAAGAACATTTCCTAAAACTGGTAAAGCTGTAGGTCCAGGTAAACTCAACGATAGACATACCGTTCTGATGTAAGTTTTACAGCAATACAGAACATATATGGCTGAAAAAATTATTAAGCAGGATATGTACTCCATTAAATTCGATTCAAACTAATATCTGAAATAACAAAAGTGTGTTTTGGTCGTTATAAATTGTTGGTGTTGTTTAAATAAGCTCGTAGAAACACCGTTAAATGCTGTATAACCAGGTGAATACTGATTATAGACCAGGAAAATAAGCTGGGAAATTACCATTTCGCGACTTTTTGTTTCGGCAAGCTGAATTTATCACTAGAGATGTAAAATGTTATGTACAATAACATTTTAGTTTCCACAGTCGTAAAAATGGGGGAAGATTGTTTACAGGGTGGTTAATTGTATAATTTTTACGTAAATTCACGTTTTGCGCTTATAACTTTTTCCGTTCATTTCCACGAGAAAACAGTAAAGTACTTTTTTTCGTCTTCAAAAGACCTACAAAACTAGCCCTCGAGCGTCAAAAAATATTGATTAAATCAAAAGTTATAAACAGAAGAATTTTATTTATGACTTTTGAATTAAACATTTATAAACTGCGTTATTATTACCAGAACGTTTTGGCATCGCATCCTCTCATTCCTTATCACTGTCTAATAACTCACACGAAATCTGGAATCGGTAAGTTGAATAGTTTACAAGTTATGGCCTTATAAAC